TAAACCGCTGGCAACAAAAGTGAGTACACACCTAAGTGAAAATGTCCAAATTGGGCCCAATTAGCCATCATGTGACTCGTTAGTGTTACAAGGTCTCAGGTGTGAATGGGGAGCAGGTGTGTTAAATTTGGTGTTATCGCTCTCACTCTCTCATACTGGTCACTGGTAGTTCAATATGGCACCTCATGGCAAATAACTCTCTGAGGATCTGAAAAAAAGAATTGTTGCTCTACATAAAGATGGCCTAGGCTATAAGAAGATTGCCAAGACCCTGAAACTGAGCTGCAGCACGGTGGCTAAGACCATACAGTGGTTTAACAGGACAGGTTCCACTCAGAACAGGCCGCGCTGTGGTCGATCAAAGAAGTTGAGTGCACGTGCTCAGCGTCATATCCAGAGGTTGTCTTTGGGAAATAGACGTATGAGTGCTGCCAGCATTGCTGCCGAGGTTTATGGGGTGATACACTGATATACAAGCTGTACACTGACTACTTTACATTGTAGCAAAGTGTCATTTCTTCAGTGTCATCACATGAAGTTATATAATAAAATATTTACAAAAATGTGAGGGGTGTACTCACTTCTGTGAGATACTGTATATGTAGCCTGCCCATAGCTCACATTTATGGCAGGTGCAACATACCACAAGCGGTGGTTATTTTGACAAAACTATCTGGTCTTGGTGGAGGTCAAGGGAGGATCACAAAATACAGTGTGATCTTGTTTAAAAAAAATATATATATACATGTGTCCCTTTTAATATTCAGCCATTATTGGGAAAATTCCAAGTAAAGATCAAGTTGGTGTAAATTGCCACTATCGGTAACCGGTAGAGCAAACCTGTTATACTTTTTTCAAAACTCACCGGTATGGATTCTAGCTAAGGTGTTTAGGAAGACACTTTGATCCGAGAATTAGTATGGTGTAGGAAAGCCACTAGGATAAAACTAGCAAATCTACAAAATAACAAACATGAAGGAGGCTTGGCCATACCCCAATTTAAAAAATATTTTGGGATGGGGGATGTATGATGGACTAATCCAAATCATAGGTTTATAAATATTGATAAAACAGAATTTCCATCAATTTCTAAACTGGAGGCGGGAGTATTTAAAGGAGAAAATAATCTTCTAACATTAAAATTGATGCAGAAAGTATGAGACTCAGTTAAGATAAATACGCAACACAGGGTTCATACGAGTTATACATCTCTATGGCACAATTCTAAGTTGCAGGAAGTATATAAGCTGACTGGGTGTGGAAATTAGGAACAAAAAGGGCTTAAATATATACACCACGTTTATGAAGGTACAAAATGTAAAACTTTCTCAGAGTTACAAACGCACTATGAGCTACAAAAACCATGTTTTTACCAGTATTTGCAATTACGTCATGCACTGCAGACGCAGAACCGCAGATATATGTAACATACCCTCCTGGATGAACCTGGTAGCCCAAGCTAAGGGTGGAAAACGAGGCATTGTAGCTAAAATTTATCACAAATTGTTAAAGGGGATAGAAGTAATTTAGTTTTTCGAGGGCAGAAGGGATGGCACCAGGATATTGGGGACTTGAGCAAGGAAGAATGGGAAAAAGCAATGAAAATAGTCCCGAACTGTTAACTGTCGGCTACACATAGATTGAAACAAGTATTTATTCTACACCATGTATACCGCACACCAAAACAATTATTTCAATGGGGTTATATGCAAGATCCCTCTTGTAAAAGGTGTGTGCATTTAGAAGGCACATTAATACACTTATTATGGCACTGTCCTAAATTATTTAGATATTGGGAAATATAATTAAAGTAATAAATAAAATATATTCAATTAACCTGGAGATGGATCAGAGTATTTGTGTTCTGCAAATTCTGCCAGAGGACTTAGGCACAAGATCTCGGAAATTGTCCATTACCAGGTTGTTGTTTATGGCTAGGAAACTGAGAGCACAGAAATGGATCTCACCTAATCCACCTATGTATAAGCACTGGATTAAAATGGTTAATATAATGTTGGAAAGGGAAAAGCTATTATTTTGGCATAGAGGAAAAGCAGGGAAATTCACAGAACTCTGGAAAGGATGGCTCTTATCTGAAGAAGGGATAAATGATAACTCACTGGTGAATCACATGTTTGTTTAAATAGAAAGAATCATAGTATAATATGAGCCCAATAGATACGTGGATTTAATAATTTTTTTCTGATGGCATATTAATGGTATAATTATGTGTTTTTTTTCTTTTTTATTATTTGTTTACTTATTTTTGTATGAATGTTGTATGTTACAGGAGCTTTTCCACCGACCCACCAGTGCCTCAATGATATGGCAGTCAGTGTATATAACACCAATATATTTGTGCTTATTGTAGCTTCCCCTATTACATCGGTGGTCATTGTAAATTCCTTTTTTTATATTGGTGGAATTTGCAAATCCCCCCCTTACATTGGTGCTCTGCGTCAGCTCCCCGTTACATTGTGTTAGTGTCAGTGCCCCTGTTACATTTGTGGTCAGTGTAAATACCCCTGTTATACTGATGGTCAGTGTGAATCCCCTTGTTAAATTGATGGTCAGTGTAAATATCCTCAATCGCTGGTGTTCAGTGAGAGAAGGATTACATTAGTGTCATTGGATGAAGGGCCCCAATTCATTGGTGTCAGTGGAGAAAGGGTGCCCATTCATTGATGGCCAGTGGCTACTGGTGGAAACAGGAGCTCATGTGGGCATTCTGATTCCCACACCCTCTGCACTAGAACTATGAGGGAACTGTCAGGTATAGCCCACAGACCCGGCCGGGGTACTTTCATTCATTATAAGTACCCTGAGTCATATGGCCACTGAGGTTCTGGGGGCTATTATAGGCACGGACTCCATCTTAGTGATCCTGATCTCCACCAGCCTGATTTAAGCACCTTCCATCCACATGCACTTGCACCAGCATCAGCTGAACTTCGTTGCTCTGGACTGGCAAGTGCTAATGGTGGTCCATAACTGAGTATTTTGTGTTGATGTGTCCGCTTGTGGCCTCCATCAGGTTGCATGTGATAGGGTAACAACACAGGCTCCTGATGTTGTGCCTCAACCCCTTCCCTCTGCTGTACCATTCACAACATACAACATAGTGATGACCTTGCAGTGGTGCTTTATAAGTGTACACTCTTGTCAGTAGCAACAGACATGCCATAATCTGCAGAAGGGAAGGGGGTAAGGGAAATGTGGTCATATGTCTAAGAGACTACACAGAAAATCCATTGTTAGCATAACTTTGGTCTATTATAAAAAAGTTTTGCGGGCAAAGCCAAAAAGTTTATTGCTCTATTAAAGGAGAATTATGGGGTGAGTGAAAAGCACGCACCCGCATAAATCAAGAGGTAACGAAAGAAGGAGGGGTGGAGAAGTGCCAACAACATGACATGAAACCGTAATAGGATGTTGGAAAATATGAAAGTTATACTCACATCTGGGCGGCCAGAGGGCGTGGCTACGGTGCCTTTCACTTCAATGGCCCGTCACGCCCCCTCATGCCCCACAAAAAAGTGAGCCGCAGCAATGCGATGCAGTGCGTTCTCGCCAGAATCGTACCGGAACGCACTGCATCTAATGTGAAACTGGCCTTACTGTTTACACAGAGCAGAGCGGAGAACGGACATTCTCCGCTCTCCTCCCGGCTCTCCATCCTGAGGATCTCTGACTGGTGAAGAGAGGTACATAGGGGCGGCGGGAGGACAGAGCCTGAAGATTTCCAATGAGGAGAAAGGTGGAGGGGGCAGACCTGCAATGTTATCACAAGTGATCTTGGCGACATCGCCAAGATCACTTGTAAACGAACAAGCTAAATGTAGAAAACAACCACCACCCGGCGCCCAGAACTGCATGTCTCGGGCGTCGGGAGATTCTACACCCCTGCTGCCCCTCTGCTCCCTGCCGCCTCAGTGGCTTTGTGGGAAATCCTGCCCTGGATATAGGAGATCAACACATACCACAGTCTGCTATAAGCTGGTCTGATTTATTTCAGATGGAAGAATAGGTCACCAGCACTCCAAGTATTTAAAATGAATAAGTCCTTTTTATTGGACAATAGTGTCACAAAGATCAAAAAGAGCCGACGTTTCGGGGCCGCGCAGGGTCCCTTCCTCAAGGCAAGAGATCTCAAGAAGATTTTCTTCTTGATCATAACTTGTCTGGAACTTCACATATTCCATCACTTGTCATTGTGTCTCAAGCCCAATTTTTGCAGAGGTTTCATAAAAACAAAGCATATATGTCAAAAGTTAACATGAGTATATGGATATATGTACTGTATATGCCAAGCCTTATCTTCTATGCCTTGAAGCCATGTTAAGTTACAGATACCATTTTGAGTATTTTTTTTCTCCCACATTAGGAAACCCTTTTGCTGACTTTTTTTTCTTCTTTACACTACTTTTTCTGTTTACCTGATCTTCTCTCTTCCCACCTTCCTTTTTTTTCTCCTACTCTTAGTCTCTCATCTTGGGCTCTTCTGCCGGGTATATATGTAGTCTGCCCATAGCTCCCATGTGCGACATACCACCGGTGGCAGTTATTTTGACAAAACCTATGGGGTCTTGGTGAAGACCGAAGGAGGATCACAAAATAGAATGCGATCTTGTTTATACAAATCGCATACCCTAGCCATGTTGTCAGATGCCTCTATTCTAATGTAGGCTGGGGGAATAGAAAATGACAAAGAAAAACAGAATGATATGTTCTTGAGGTTTATTTATGAAAGTTTGTGAGTACAGATTTATGGAGACACTACTCTTCTAGATCAAGTACACTCCTTTGAACTTCTGGCATGTATTGTGTATATTGACTGTCTGTCTTCACAGTATTGTTGGAATTTTATATTTTTGTGTTTTTTTAGAACAAGAAAGTTAAAAAGTTATGAAAAAAGAATATGAAACAAAATCAAAAAGTTAAAGCAACATATAACTTTTTTGATTTTTCAAAACATAACTAAAAGAATGACAGTGGTTTTGCTAACAGATAAAAGACAGTAACATGTTGATCTGATTCTGAATTATGGTCTCAGCTGGATGAGCATCATAAGATCCAAAAGCTGTGGTCATGTCCCAAGCATCAATGACCCCAACATTAAGACCCAAGAAGACTTCCTTCATTAAGAGGTACTGACTGTAGCCATGAAAGTCACTGAATCGTTCTACATCTGGATTGATCTCTCGGGTATTCTCTGTCTTTAGGATGACCGTTGTGTCTGGGCTTCTTTTGAAAAGGTTCTCTATTGCTTTACGTATGTTGAGAAGTCTTTTGATGAAAAGCGTAATGGGGAAAGGTCTAAAATGCTGTCCCAGCGTGATGGCAATGACTGTGTTTGATCCTCCGGCGAGTTGGTCAATTTCCCTGGCTATATATGAGAAGTCTCTCATGGTGTAGAAGTAATGAGTTACAAATGGGTGCCCATGCTTCTTCCACTTGACATACAAATGGTTGTCCAGGTCCAAAGCTAAGAGAGCCCTGTGATTGCCCATTCCATGCATGTCAAAAAACTTCAATGCTGAAGAAAAGAACGTACATATGTTACACATTAATATCTGATACAGTTATATAATAAATACAATGCTCCAAAGATGTAAAATTATATATTAATATTATTATTCATGATTTATTTAGCATCAACAATTTGTGCAGTGCTTTACTATAAAAGGGAGACAGTATAATTACAATACAATTCAAGACAAGGGGGTTAGGAGGACCCAGGTCATGAGAGCTTAAAATCTGAAAGGGAGGGGTAAGTCATACAAAAGGTAATCACTGTGTGGAGATTGAGTTGATGGAAATGAGTCACCCTAAATTCACAGGAGAATGCTGGAGGGAATAGGTTTGGGGCAGTATTAAGGACGGAAGACTGCAGAATTATCCCTTTCGCTGCCACCGACATATCTCATACGTCACTGGCAGTGGGCCTCTTTAAACAGACTATAGCCGCCGGGACTCTGTTTACATGTGTAAAGCCGAAAGTATATACACTGTACTGTATATTCAAAGGAAATTGACCAATGTGTGCATTTTTCATAGTATAGGAGGACCTACATTCGTATGCCTCTACTGTCAAGATATTGTCCACTGCATCAAATCAGATATCAATTATCAATGATCTAGTGCAGTTATGGAAAGAAAAAAAGTTAAGGACAGCTATGAAAAAAAATTCTGAATTGAGCACAGTGCAGAGTGAAAAGGAAACTTCAGGCAAGGCAAAAGTAATTAATAGGTTTATGTAATACCGTGTTTCCCCGAAAATAAGACACTGTCTTATATTTTTTTGACCTCAAAAAAACACACTAGGTCTTATTTTCGGGGGGAGGTCCTTATTTTAATTTTTTATGTACAACAATACACACTTGTTTATGTACAACAGTCTACATGTATTCATGTACACAAATATGGTGATCAGTGGTGCCGTACCTTTCCAAGAGCAATTTGCTAACCAATCGCTGGCCAGAATGAGCGAAGCGCACTTTCACTATCGATTCCTCACAGGCGGAGTGCATTTGGTATCACTCCGCCTGTGACAGGAGTTGGCATTGGCTTATGCGGCTCTGCTCCCTCCAGTGCCGCCTTGCTTCCTCTATAGCTGGCTTAGTTGGCACCGCTGAATTTCAGCGTGATGGCAATGACTGTGTTTGATCCTCCGGCGAGTTGGTCAATTTCCCTGGCTATATATGAGAAGTCTCTCATGGTGTAGAAGTAATGAGTTACAAATGGGTGCCCATGCTTCTTCCACTTGACATACAAATGGTTGTCCAGGTCCAAAGCTAAGAGAGCCCTGTGATTGCCCATTCCATGCATGTCAAAAAACTTCAATGCTGAAGAAAAGAACGTACATATGTTACACATTAATATCTGATACAGTTATATAATAAATACAATGCTCCAAAGATGTAAAATTATATATTAATATTATTATTCATGATTTATTTAGCATCAACAATTTGTGCAGTGCTTTACTATAAAAGGGAGACAGTATAATTACAATACAATTCAAGACAAGGGGGTTAGGAGGACCCAGGTCATGAGAGCTTAAAATCTGAAAGGGAGGGGTAAGTCATACAAAAGGTAATCACTGTGTGGAGATTGAGTTGATGGAAATGAGTCACCCTAAATTCACAGGAGAATGCTGGAGGGAATAGGTTTGGGGCAGTATTAAGGACGGAAGACTGCAGAATTATCCCTTTCGCTGCCACCGACATATCTCATACGTCACTGGCAGTGGGCCTCTTTAAACAGACTATAGCCGCCGGGACTCTGTTTACATGTGTAAAGCCGAAAGTATATACACTGTACTGTATATTCAAAGGAAATTGACCAATGTGTGCATTTTTCATAGTATAGGAGGACCTACATTCGTATGCCTCTACTGTCAAGATATTGTCCACTGCATCAAATCAGATATCAATTATCAATGATCTAGTGCAGTTATGGAAAGAAAAAAAGTTAAGGACAGCTATGAAAAAAAATTCTGAATTGAGCACAGTGCAGAGTGAAAAGGAAACTTCAGGCAAGGCAAAAGTAATTAATAGGTTTATGTAATACCGTGTTTCCCCGAAAATAAGACACTGTCTTATATTTTTTTGACCTCAAAAAAACACACTAGGTCTTATTTTCGGGGGGAGGTCCTTATTTTAATTTTTTATGTACAACAATACACACTTGTTTATGTACAACAGTCTACATGTATTCATGTACACAAATATGGTGATCAGTGGTGCCGTACCTTTCCAAGAGCAATTTGCTAACCAATCGCTGGCCAGAATGAGCGAAGCGCACTTTCACTATCGATTCCTCACAGGCGGAGTGCATTTGGTATCACTCCGCCTGTGACAGGAGTTGGCATTGGCTTATGCGGCTCTGCTCCCTCCAGTGCCGCCTTGCTTCCTCTATAGCTGGCTTAGTTGGCACCGCTGAATTGTCTCCCGCAACTCTTCAAGTTCCATCTTATGCCACCACCGGCCCTGGAAATGGTCACAACTAGGTCTTATTTTCGGGGTAGGTCTTATATTTTAGCAATTCCCAAAAATAGTACTAGGTCTTATTTTCGGGGTAGGTCTTATTTTCGGGGAAACAGGGTATAAGGTATTGCCCATTTTTTAAAATTTTTTATTGTAGGATTATAAAATTGTGCATATAGGGCAAGGAACAATTTTTATTGAGGGTTTCCCTCGCCCCCGCATGACGCAGCGGCCCGGCGGGACGTGCCCCCATGCGTCACGGCGCACGGTGACGTCACCCTCGGTGGGCTATATAAACAGCCTCAGCAGTCTCCCTCACTGCTGAGTGATCTTCAGCCTGTGCCCAGCACCAGCTCTGATCTGTATCTTGTGACTATCAGTGTTTTTGACCCGGCTTGTTCCTGACTACTCTCCCTGGATTCCACTTCTGCATTATTCTACCCTTTTGTTCCTGATCCGGCCTGCCCCTGACTACTCTTTTTGGATCCAGCTTCTGTGCCGCTTGCTCTCTGGTTTCTGACCCGGGTGGTTCCCTGGCTACTCTGTGGATATTCACCTGCCTACCCGCAGTTCCTGTGAAGCTTCATTCCCGGTTGGATACCCGAGATTCTACATCTGGCATCCGTGCAGCTCCTGCCTGTGCACCCCTGTTGCACCTCCAGAGGTCCGCAGATGGAGTTGCAAGGGAGGTCCTCCTTGTCACATCGGGCTCGCACCACGGTACGTGACACTAGTACTAGTACCCTGTCCAGCCACGTTTAGCTCCGACCAGAAAGTCCTCTTCTTTCTCTGCCTGCATTTGCACAGTAGAACCAAATATAGAGGTTTCTTCCATCTTTTGGGAGATGTGTAGGCACCAGCAAGAGGAGAACCGATCAGCCAAGGGTAACATGATAGTGGGACCAGGTGCCAGAACTAAGTAAATATGGAGCATTGGGGGTAGGTTATATCAGTCCAGTGTAGATGGAAAAATGAGTAGGTAAAGTTTTAGATACATGCTTATGAAAGTTTCCTTCTTTTCTATGTTAAAAGAGGACTTCCCCTCAGCTTCAAAATGAATTAATGTATAAAGTAAACCTGCACTGTACCCATAGCCCTGTTTAAGGTGCAACTTGAGCAACTCAAGGCTTACGAACAGTGGCTTTTCCTGCTTCCAGCAGCTGAATGGATTGGCAAAAGAGTGAAGAAAAGGTCTAAATGTGCTGCCAAAAACAGAAAGATTAAAGAGAACCTATTGCTTTGTCCTGCCTGACAGGAAGTGAGAGAAAAAGTCATGACACAGGCTGTAACCCTTTCCCTACTCTAGCCAAAAACAAACTGTTTGTCTGTATGTCAAGGCACAAAAGGTGGTCTAATAAAAAAAAATAAAAAGGTGGTCAGTTGAAGGTGAGTAACCAGGGAACTGGAAAAGTTAAATTCCTGCAGCTCACCTTTCCAAGCACCCAAGCTCCATCATCTCTGGTCAACAGATGCTTGATTCTTTGGGAATGATATATTAAAGGCAAATAGGCTTTTCAATTTGCAATAAAATGTTCCTTTAGCTTATTGAATGCTCTGTTGAGATCCACCATCCAATCAAGTGCAAGCAAAAATACTGTGCACATGATTGGGCATGATTGGGTATTCTTTGCACATGATTGGGTATTCTCCTGCTCTCTTCGTCCTCTTTCCGTGGGTCCTCCAAAGCTCTGTGCTTGAGCCGCTTCTATTCTCTATTTACACCTCCTCCATGGGTTATTTGATAACTTCCCAAGGCAAAAAAATAAATAAAGTACACATCTTCATGCATATATACTGTGTTTTATTCCATTAAAGCCGAAAAATACCTGTTGATCTGAAAGACATCAGCTGCACTCTTAAGTCCTGTTGCCAGCTGACAACACACAGCATTTTTGGGGGGACAGAGCGGTATCAGCTCTGCCTGGTTTTATTTTGCTAAACTACCAAAACCCACCCCTACCCTATTTAGTCTGTAGTTCCAAGGAGGGCTAATTAGACTGCTTGAAAAAACACAGGAAGTGGAACTAAAGAGAAACAACTAAAAGAAGCTCATTGTCAGGGTTTATCATACACTATAAGTCAAAATAGGTTCATTGCTGCTTGGCTTATCCTCATTACAAGCCGCTCCTCCATCCACAACAAAAATACTTACCTGTCAGTTGCATCCAGGACCCACCAGCTGATGTCCTATTGTCCACCTCCACCTGTTCACTATGGCTCTGTGTGAGGCACGGTCACTGATTTGTTGCCTTTGTGCCTCTGCCATTACTTGGTTTAGCAAGCAGAGGAGCGACAGTGAGAGCCAATAACCATAACTTTTTTTATTCTGGCTACACTAAATTTAGGGAAGCTGATTTTTAAATGGTATTTATATGCCACTACACAACACTCTTTTTTTCAATATTTAAGTTTGATCACTTTACTTTTTATGACTTTTGGCATGTACTCAATCCATTGGCGCAATGTTGAATCTCCCATGAAATAGATCATTTTACCAGACAGACATTTGCTGATGGCAGAAGAGGACTCTGGAAGATAACTTTTACAGTTGGCAGGGTTCCATTGTGTATTGAAAAAATAACCACTCGGCAATAAAGGATCTTCCCCGGTTTTGCATTTTGACTCTGGTTTTCTAGAATTTCCTGCAATGTATATAAAACAAATATCAGGTGAGCTATATGTGTTTGTGAACTTTCAGTAGCTATTGTGTAAGTATCGACAACCATTAAAGTATAGGTAAAGATTACTTTTTAGTTTTGTATAAAGCAT